CGGCAACTCCACATTTTGTGCGAGTGCTCGTAGCGAACGGCGCACATTGCCCGGAACGCGAGTAAGGTAGGGGTTCGAATCCCGCGTGAGATTAAAATATTTACCCGTAACTCGGCATTTTTGAAACGGCTTCTGGAGCGTGAACTGTGACGTTAAATAACAGTTATTATAGTCATGCTAGTGATCTTTTTACTCGTTTCAACCATTTCCCACCTATTTTGGAAGGAATTCAGAAGGAGTTTGACAGTGTATATGACGGGAGCCTTTGAATGTCCCAAGCTCCACATAGGACCAGAAGAAACAACTACAGGTGGGAAAAAGCCAATGATTCTTATTACCAGAACATCCAAAGAAGGAAATTTCGAGAGTGGGAGGGGGGGGCCGTATTTTGCAGCGTATTTTTCTCCAGCAGCAGGATGTGCCCTGTCTATTGTCTGGCGATTATAACTACGCTCATACGCTTTTACAAAAGTAAATCAACAACACTTACATCAAAGCACAGCTGCGAGCAACCAGCAACTTTGTTACGGCGCTTTGTTGCTTGCTCAATGATGGGGCAGGACTCCGGGTTGGCGTAATCGAACTAGAAAAAAAACCAGAGTTTCCGAATGCGGAAATTCAAACGCCAAAAACAACAGTCGCAGAACAAGTCAACCTACCATGAATATCTTTTTCAGAGCCAACATTGCAGCATCATTCTTCGCAGCTTTTTTCGACTTGCCGCTGCCAATGAATTCTTCCTTATCATTTATAATCAGTTTGCTTCTAAAAGGGAGGCCATAAAATCATGACACCTTGTTGAAAACATACAAAAAAAAATTGCTCACTTGAATATTGTACCCATTTGGTTTACGGGTTCATCAGCTCCTAAGTCTTCATATTTGATGTTTGGTGTAACCTTAATCGAGGAACATTTAATTTAATTTGAAATTGCATCATTTTTATTTATGATACACTATTGCAGAGGCGATTATTTAGGGTAGTTAAAAATCTGAAGAGCAACGCTCAGAATAATGGAATTACAATCAAAGTACCGATCTATTCTGCTTGGCTAGTAGCACGTGCAGTTTCTGACATGGTGGCACTGGTTGCTCACTTTGTGGCGGCGCTTCTGCCGCAACAGACGGAGGATCGATGTCGAAATGCGATCTGCAACCATGGAAATCACATTGAATGTCTGATTAATTTCACGTATTAAATGAAAGAATGACGTCTTCACTGTTGATCAATCCCTTTTGGATACGACATGTATTCTACTTCCATGCAGAATCGTAGTGGCTTATTGAATGCGATGTGGCCTATACAATGACTTGCGGGGGCCAGCCGATGTACAAGTCAGTGTTTTATCCTCCCAGACGAATCTGGTACCAATTTACCGTTCCCGGAGGGTAGAAGGCTTGGTTGGCCTAGGCAAGAAGTTGACCCGCCTAGGCCAACCAAGCCTTCTACCGGGCTCTGGACTCAGGACGGCGTGAGTGGTGAGCGCGCCCCTTGTCACTACACCACCTCCTGCCCGGAACATAGGTAGGTGTTATTAAAGGACGCGATGTGGCTAATGCAAGGACGTACGGGGCCAAGCCAATGTACATGTCAATGTCTTATCCTCCCAGGCAAGTCTGCCACCTATTTGTGGTGCTCGAAAGGTCAAAGGCTTGATTGTTCCAGGCGGAGCCGATCCGTTATTTGATCCCGGACCGCGCGCGTGGTAAGCGTGCCATTTGTCAGCACATCACTTCCCCTCAATTCCATATATTGCACAATGCACTAATGGTGATATGCAGGTGAATATCAATCGCTAAAGTAGGCTGCGTTCATACTTTGCATCAGCGTCCACCATCCCACCAGCGTTTCGAGCGTACGCCAGAGCCTTTTTTCTCACAGCTCAAAGTGCATGGAGGGGCTGACGGATAGTGAAACCCGAGCGCCGTATGGCTGCGTTCATACTTTGCGGCAGCATCCACCACTGACTAGGGAAGCATAATCAATCTCGCGAAACCTCTACCAACATCCGAAAGCGTACAGCAGCGTTTCCGCGGGCAGTTTTGCTCAAGTTGAAAAGTGCCCGCGAACAGGCTGCTGTACGCTGGTAGACGCTGGCTTTCGCTAAATTGAAACCTATCATTTCCTCGTCGCTGGCGCTGGCGTACGCTCGAAATGCTGGTGGTCGCTGCTGGACGCTGACGCCTAGTATGAGTATGACGCCAGCATAATGATTTTTCTATACCTTTGCAGCCTATCATTGCTAAATACAACCCACTACTTATCCGCCGCAGTTCAATGGACTCGTGTAAAGCAGTCCAACAGTAATCTTTTTCCACTTATAAACACTATCATCCTTTCCACAGTTCTGATTACAGGATACATTATCTAGAGTCTGCAGTTTATTGATAGTTAGATGATAGAATTAAAGACAATGAATAGGATGAGAATAGGAGATGAGAGGAGAGAGAAGAGGAGGTCAAACAAAGTGGATAGTGATGTGGTTAGAGATTTATATATTGGATTGATGATTAAGATATTAGTTGTTTCCTTAGTTATGTATATTGATAAATGATAATTAATTATCAGGTGTTAAGACGGAAAGTTCCGGGTCGAAATATTTCAACTAAGTGTAATAGAGCGCTATCAAACCGCGAGTCCATGGAGGAGACGCCTCGAGTGAGCAACAGTCATATGTATAATACAACGGCAACCCAGAGAAAGAACACACTAAAGGGTACTACGACGTGATAAAATCTAGTCGAGGGACGAAGCAAAAAAAAAAGTGAAGTAACCTAACTTCTGAAAACAGTTATAGAGATGGAGACTGTACGTAAAGGTAAGAAGCGGTACTTGCGACTAACACAATGTGGGCTAAAAGCGCATCTATACTTTAAATGGACTACTACATACTTGATTGAGGTGCGGGATTGCGAAGAAATAAAGGAGGAAAAGCACGAAAGAAGCTGGTACGGGTTCTCTAAAAATAAAAGGTCTCACAGGGAGGCAAGGCACGCGACGAAGCCATTATAAGAAGGTTTGCGAGATAAGTCGACACGCCTCGTTATGTGATGTGAACGCAGGCAGTCAAAACATGCGCAAAGTCCCTAAGCGGAGTGTAAGTAAATATATTTGAGTTGTGGCAAGGTCAGCGTTTGGTACTGCGGCGCTTCAATTTCCTGACAAACAATCTCGCCCCCGTTGATGAACTGAAATGGGTACATCTGTGCGGGTTGCGGTTATCAAGCAACGAGGAAGTTTCGAAAAGATCATTTCAAGTTTCGCGATAAAGCGGTGTCGCAAAAAGGCATGACGGGACAACGTACGTTGCCTCACTTGCGGAACGTAACCGAGGATTGCCAAGACGCGAAACTTGGAAATGTAGTCAAAAGAGTAAGGCGAGAAACTGAAACCTATAAGCAAAAGCTCAATGGCTGCGTATTCTTTAGCTTCATGCTTTGAGCGACTCGGCGGTGATGTGAACTCAACTGTCTTGTCGTTCACTGTAACAAAGTAATTATTGGACGGTTTGCATATTATCAAATGCAGTATCAGTATTAGTCTAGGCTTTTCTCCGGCAGAGAAATCGTCTTTAGCGAATTCACATACCGGAAACTGTTCCCCGCAGCTGGGGGACCCGTTGCAACTACGAATTTTTACGCACGCGACAATCCAAAGGCTGTACAACGGATTGGGTCCCCCAGGCAACGACGTCTTTTCCCTCGCTCGTCACTGACCAATTTCAAGGAAAGTGACTGGGGATCCATCGCATTAAAGTCTACTTCAGAAACCCGACCCCCTACTTCTTGAACTTCAGAACCACAGAATCCGATCCAGGGTCAAGCAGTACGCAGTTCTGAAGACTCGAGTCGCGGCATCGCGAGCAAACCACGTAGTGTCCCAGCCAGCTGACTCGACACAGTACTCTGGCTTGGAATTAATTAGGTCCCAATGCCCTGGCGTCCTTTACCGTTTACGCTATCACCCTATCCCAAGATATTGAACAACCTACAAATTGCTTTCTTCTGGTTCAAATTTTGAGGATCACTTGATGGTCATGTCCGTTATTCGGTGGTTCCTCAAAAGCGTTTTTTCAGTGATCCTCAAAACTTGGAAAAGAGGCAAGCGAACTCGCAGTCGTTCCTTTTTTTCGTGTAGAGTGGTAACATGAGTGGCAAAGGATCCCACGCCATTATAACCTTACTGATTTAACGCCCAGTGCTGTGTGAGTCACCTAACTAGAAATACTCGCCAGGTTTGCGAACAACGCAACAACTTGGGCCTCCTGAACTACACTGGGGTTTACCATAACCAAGATGTTCCCTCTGAGAACCTACTCAATCCGCCTCTTTTACATTCCATACACCATGATAGTCATGTCTGAAAGAGACGGCAGCATTTGAAACAAAGTAACACTGGCAGTTTAAGTGTTATCCTTACAGAGGATAAATTCCAATGACTCAGCGTAAGGCCCCATCCAAAGTTGGGCACCATTTAGGCTTTGCGATGACGCGGGACGACGCACTACAATCGCAACAGCGCTCCAGGTGGTATAGACAAGTACGAAGCCATAGCCGATATCGATCGGCGCCGGCCGCTGGTGCTTCGGGAAGGTATCAAAGATAAGAGGGTACCAAACTGTGTGACCAGTAGCCCCTACTCTCCAATACTCCCTCGAAACAGCCGCGGCCTGTGCTAATCGATATCGCTCTGTGGCCGCATTCCCTCCTACAGCATTGGAGGGCTGCGTAATGGTAGCGCTTTGACGTGTGTCATCGCTAAGTCTGAACGCTTCCTTATCGCGTCCGTCTTTTTTTCGACATGACTGCCAGACGAGCATGTAATGTACCTTTCCTCAATTGTGCTTTCTACGCAATTCTACCCCCCCCCCCTAAAAATACTCCTCAACAGCAATCACTAGAAGGGCAAAGAAGCTCAGTCACGCTTACCAAGTTTCTTAATTTTTTGGGTTGCCTAGTTGCTTGACCCTGATCTGACCCAACATTCCCAAGAGATAAAACGTGAAAGGGCCGTCAAAATCAAACTACACTTAGAGGCATCTGCAATCGTTTTTCAACGATCCCGTCACTCTCCAATAACAGCCCCTCACTTCCTTTCCACCACGGGCGTCTGATCGATCTTATTTGACATGGGCTAACACATGGAGAGCTATAACGCCATCATGTCTGTGATTTCCGCTCGAGGAGGTAAGATAGTTACCATTTGATAGTCAGAAGTTTCTAAGTTCGTCATCAAAATATGAAGGCGAGTTTGTTTCCGGAAAACCTCTGCCATCTTATAATCGTGTTTTGTATACACAAGGGGCATAGCCATTCTGTTGCCGCATATTAAAACATGAAAACGTAAGAAAACACTAAAACGAAGAAGTGGCAACAAAATGTCGTCGTAGGCTACGGATGACCACCTTCCATCAGTGGTGACTTCTGCTTGAAATTAAACATTTCAAAAAATAGGATGCGATAGAAGAATGTTCATCCATAGGGTCAGACCATCATCAGTGATGATGGCAACGCTCAGAACTCCGATGGTCAACGGAAAATGGGGAATAATAATTTGATCAGAGTTCTGAGTTATGAGAGAGAGAAAAGAACGTAGGGCTAAAGCAAAATACTGGAATGATCGATGAGAGTGCAGACGGCGACAAATGATGGTGGTAGATGGCCCATCGCTTTGTCGTTACTGATGTCTACCTTGAACTGCACCTCACAACAACATAGATGGGCGACTTGGTAGAGCGTCTGTAAAGTATAACCATTTAGACCGTTGGTGTACATTAGGGGTGTAGTTCAGGAGATCCTTTCCGCGACATCGTTCTCAAACCAGCACAACTCGACCTTTATGTCAAGTAAGAGCGCGTTCATATTTCGCGATCGCTCGAATGGATCGCGCAATCCAGTCGAGCGGGGCGCTCCACCGCTAAACGATGTACCGCCGTACACGTACAATTTAAATTATCACTGCATGAGCGCGGCCCTGACTGCACCTCTGGCGGGGGAGCGCCCGTTGTCAGGATTGCTCACAGGATCGCGCGATCCATTCTAGCAATCCAGTCTAGCGATCCGCGATCGCGAAGTATGAACGCGCTCTGCGAGTGCGACCATACTTTGAGTCAGCGTTCTGAGCGTCTATCTAGCGTTTTGAACGACTGGGGAAATACAGGCACCATTTCAGCGTTCTTTTCAGCGATTTGAGCGTTTCGAGCGTGACAGTTTTGAACGTTTTGAGCCATTAAGAAAGTGCAGATAGCGATTATCGCAAAATCTCAAAACGCTGCTGCAAGGTACCAACACACCCTAAGCAGGTCTTGCGTTCCAGATTGTTTCGTTAAGGACCTTTCTCCAAGAAAACCAACAGCCAAGGAAAGTTTCGGCACTATTGAACTATACCTACCCCTTCCGAAATCAGGAGTTATTTTGCCGACTTTTTACTACGTGTGCAGATTTGGGTGAAAACTAGTTTCCAGGGGTAGTTTGACCCTTGAACACGAATATCACATCCGCCTCAAACTGCCCTGCCCCCGCGCCAAAATATGCTACACCACCAAATTCGCTGGAAACTTGTCCCTAGGGGGTTTGACGTCCTTAACATGAAAACCCACAGCGGCTTGACAAGAAAATGCCTACGCCAAAACGTCCTAAATCAAAAAAGAATACGCTGGGAGTTTGCCTTTGGGATA